AAAACCCCTCCACAAACTGACGATATTAGCTTGCCAATCCCAAGAAACTCCGGATCTCTATGGCCGTTGCTGTTCTAGACCAGTTCTTGACTGCCTCAATCTTCTTCGAATCAACTTGAATACCCCTTGCTGACACAACATGACCCAGGAATGCAACAGAACTCAACCATAACTCACACTTCAAAAACTTAGCATACAACTGACTATCCTTCAAAGTCTGAAGAACCACTCTAAGATGATGCTCGTGCTCCTCCCGGCTACGAGAATATAACAAAATATCATCAATGAAGACTATCACGAATGAATCCAAATAAGGCCTGAACACCCGGTTCATCACATCCATAAAAGCTGTTGGGGCATTTGTCAACCCGAATGACATCACGAAGAACTCAAAATGCCTGTACCGAGTGCGGAAAGCTGTCTTAGGGACATCAGATTCCCTAATCCTCAACTGATGATATCCAGATCTCAAGTCAATCTTTGAAATACCTTGGCACCTTGAAGCTTATCAAATAAATCATCAATCATCGGTAGTGGATATTTATTCTTGATTGTAACCTTGTTTAACTACTGGTAATCAATACACATTCTCATCAATCTGTCCTTATTCTTAGCAAACAACACCGGCGCACCCCAAGGAAAAACACTAGGTCTAATAAAACCCTTTTCAAGCAAGTCTTGCAACTGCTCCTTCAACTCTTTCAACTCAGGCGGGGCCATACGATACAGTGGAATAGAAATGGGCTGGGTGCCCGGAGCTAAATCAATGTAGAAGTCAATATCCCTGTCGGGTGGCATACCCGGAAGGTCAGAAGGGAATACATCAGGAAACTTACGAATAACGGGCACAAAATCAATAGAAGGAACCTCAACACTAGAATCACGGACATATGCTAAATAGGTCAAACACCCCTTCTCGACCATACGTCGAACCTTCATATACGAGATAACACTACGGGTAAAATGACCAAGAGTCCCTCTCTACTCTAAACGAGGTAAACCCGGCAAAGCTAAGGTTACAGTGTTGGCATGATAGTCCAAGATAGCATGATAAGGTGATAACCAGTCCATCCCTAATATGACATCGAAATCAACCATGTCCAGAAAAAGCAAATCTATACGAGTCTCAAGACCCCCAATCGTAACTACACATGAATAATGGACTCGATCTACCGGAATAGAATCACCCACCGGTGTAGACACATAAACAGGAGCACTCAAAAAATTACTAGACATGACCAGATACGATGCAAAATAAGACGACACATAGGAGTACGTAGATCTCGGATCAAATAAAATGGAAGCATCTCTGCTACAAACCAGAACAGTACATGTGATAACTACATCGGAAGCCTCAGCCTTGGGCCTAGTTGGAAGAGCATAACATCCGGGTTGGGCCCTACCACCCAGAACTACATCTCTGGGACGACCTGCTGCTAGCTAGCCTCCACCTCTAGTGGCCTAAGCTCCACCTCTACCTCCACCTCTAGCACCTCTACCCCACCTCTTGCTGGCTGGGTGGGCTATGGAACACTCGGTGCCTGAACCATGGCACGGGAACCCTGATGCTGAGAGTTACTCGGTGCTCGTGGGCAAAACCTAGCAATGTGACCCATATCACCACAAGTGTAACAAGCCCTCGGCTACTAAGACTACTAACCCTGATGACCTAAATGACCACCCCAAAAACTCTGAAGCGGTGTGCACTGACAGGGGCTGGTGGTGCACTGTAGGACTGATGATCAAAATACTACATATGGGGACCATGACCACCTGAAGCACCGTGAGAAACCTGAAGTGCTGACTAAAAAGGCCTAGGAGGATGGCCTCTACCATATGCATCTCTGCCTCCAGACGAGGTACCACTGAATTGGCCAAATGACGAGGCCTCTTGTCAGACCCCTGACCACCTCCCATCGACAGAACCATCTTAACTCTCCTGGCCATATTGGCCGCCTCCTGGAAAGAAATCTCACTCCTAGTCTCCCTATCCATCTGAAGTCAAATCGGCTGAATAAGTCCCTCAATGAACCTCCTCACCCTCTATCTCTCTCTCTCTGGTGGGAAACTGCCTCTGATAGATCTCTCTCTGAGTAATAGGGAGAAACTTCTCTAGAAATAGCTGAGTAAACTGCTCCCAAGTCAAAGCTGGTGATCCAGATGGTCTAGCCAAGCAATAATCTCTCCACCAAGTCTTGGTGGATCCAGACAAGCGAAAAGTAGCAAAATTGACCCCATTGGTCTCCACTATCCCCATGTTCCTGAGAACCTCATGACAGTTGTCTAGATAATCCTAGGGATCCTCAGAAGATACACCGCTGAAAGTAGTGGTGAAGAGCTTGGTGAACCTATCCAACCTCCACAAAGCATCGGCAGACATAGCTGCTCCATCACCGTTTTGAGCCACCCACCCGGCTGAACTGCTCCAACTAGCTGAACTACTGGAGTCTGAAACTGGGGAGCTTCCTACTCCGGAGTGCGAGTAGCAGGAGTCTGGGCTCCTCCTCCAGCCTGAGAGACAGTTGGGGCTACGTGAATCAAGCCTACCCGGGTGACACTCTCCTTAAGTCCCACTAGACGGACCAGAGCATCCTGGAGTACTCCGGTAATAAACCTCTCTAGGACCTGAGTTGGGCCCACCGGAACTGCTGGGGTCGGAACCTCATCATCAAAGTCAACCTGAGGCTCTATCGCTGGTGTTGCTGCTCTGGGCTGAGCTCTGCCCCTACCTCGGCCTCTAACACGGCCTTGGCCTCGCCCTCTTCCCCTCGTGGGAGCTACTACTAGGGCCTCGGGCTGCTGGTCAATGGATAAGGAAGCGCGTGTTCTCGCCATATGTGAAAGAATAGAGTAGAAATTCAATTAGCATTGAGAAACTAAATCGCACGATAGAAAAGAATAAATGTGAAATTTTTCCTAACTTTGTAGCCTCTGGTGATAAACATAGACGTCTCTGTACCGATCCCTCAGACTCTACTAAGCTTGTATGTGAACTGTGAGACCCATGTAACCTAGAGCTCTGATACCAACTTGTCATGACCCCGATTTCCCACCCTCGGGAGTCATGATGGCGCCTACTAGTGTGAGTTAAGCAAGCCAATTATCGAACAAGTAACCTTTTTACCCATTTTATACTCTTTAACAGTTATAAAGTAATAACGTGTGAACAGCAGAAATTTAAAATAAGCAGGAAAAAAGCAATAAAATATCTGAATATGTAACTAATACAACTGTTTAAGCCTTAACCACCCAAAACTGGTGTCACAATGTCACAGATGATCTAAGATTTACTACATACAAAGTCCGAAAAATAAACGATACACTGTTTCTGAATGAAGGAAATGAAACAGGGATAAAGGGATAGAGGAGACGCCAGGGCCTACGGGCACCTGCAGGTGTACCTTGGATCTCCATGTGGACTGAAGGTAGCCACCCAATCTATGATCTAAAAACTGCTCCGGGATCTGCATAGAGTGCAGAGTGTAGTATCAGCACAACCAACCCCATGTGCTGGTAAGTGACTTGCCTAACCTCGGCGAAGTAGTGACGAGGCTAGGACTAGACTACCACATAAAGCTGTGCAATTCGACTATATACTGCGGAAAAAAAGAACAGAAATATATAGTCAAATATGGGAGGGGTAGCATGCTGCGAGGGAGACATCAATTCAAAATAGAAAAAAAAACAACAGGTACTTGAAGGAAACAGTAAATCTCGGATATCAACAAGGAACAAGAAAGCAATAAATGCATGGCATCACCCTTCGTGCTTTTACTCTCGTCCTCACCAAAGCAATCAAGTAATGAAATGAAAATGTGCACGGCATCACACTTCGTGCTTTAACACTCCCTCACCAAAATAATACACGGCATCACCCTTCGTGCTTTAACACTCTTCCTCACCCAAACAACAATCACAAATAATAGGGCAAGGGAATAAATGAAATTACAATGAAAATCCCGGCAAGGGAACAATAGTTCAATAATCAATTCCCGACAAGGGAATAACATCACAAGAAGCATCGACATCCTGGCTAGAGAGATAACATCAAAACAAGAAATTCCCGGCAAGGGAGATAATATAATGATTCTCTTCTCTTTTTCACTTTTACTTCACAACTTACTTCACCACTTTGAGCCAATGGTCTAAAAGATTCAATTTCCACTTATATTTTCACATTTCATGGTACAACTTGAGCCAATGCTCCTCAAAACTCAAATTTCACAATTACTTCCACAAACTTTGCCCAACAATAGAAATCATCATCAAAGTATGAATAATACAATGAAGCCATAATAATCACAATATAAGACTCACGGGCATGCTTGACACCAACGTATAGATACTCGTCACCATGCCTATACGTCGTACTCGACAAATACCACATAGCAAATAGGACTCGACTCCTAATCCCTCAAGCTAAGGTTAGACCAAACACTTACCTCGATGCCACGAACACAATTCAAGTCCTTACTATCGCTTTACCTCTTCATTCCACCACCAATTCGCTCGTATCTAGCCACAAGTTACTTAATTACATCAATAAACGCTAAATGAATCAATTCTAATGCATGAAAATGAGTTTTTAAAGTTTTACTCAAAAAGTCAAAAATTATCCCGGGGCCCACATGGTCAAAACTTGAGGTTCGAACCAAAACCCAATTACCCATTCCCCCACGAACCCAAACATATAATTTGTTTTGAAATTGGACCTCAAATCGAGGTCCAAATCCCTAATTTTTGAAAAACCTAGGTTCTATCCAAAACACCCAATTTCCCCCATGAAAATTATTGATTTTGAGTTGAAATCATGTTAAAACATGTTAATGATTGAAGAAAACGAGTTAAAATTGACTTACAATTGATTTGAATGAAGAGTTGTCTTTGAAAAATCGGCCAAGAGTGTTTTGGTTTTGAAAGAGTGTGAAAAATGGGAGTTTTTCGGCTAAGTATAAAAATTGCAGGTTGCAGATATGGGAATTGCGACCAGGGTTCGCAACCTATGCTATGTTCGCATTGGCAAAAAAAGGGCTTGCATTTGCGAGCTGGGAATTGCGATCCACATGTCGTATTTGCGACGACTGACCACAAGCTGGGGGATCGCATTTGGGATCAAAATTCTCGCAATTGCGAGATAGGCTGGCCTGGGCTACTTTCGCAATTATGACATAGCCCACGCATTTGCGAGCCAGCGAAGCCTGCAGGAATGCACAGAAATAGCTGAAGCCTACAATTCCTTAAGTTCAAAAAATCACCCTGTGGACTATCCAAAACTCACCCGATCCCGCGGGGCTCCAAACCAAGCATGCACACCAACCTAAAAAATCATACGGACTAGCTCGTGCATTCAAATCACTAAAATAACATCAACAACTATGAATTTAGTATCAAAATCATGAAATTTTCTTAAGATCTTCAAATTTCCAATTTTTCTCAAAAACGATCTGATTCACGTCTTTTCAAGTCCGTTTCTTACCAAATTTCACAAACTTATCTTAAATCATATATAAAACCTGTACCGGGCGTCAGAACAAAAATAAGGGCCCGATACCACCAATTTTTAATCACAATTCATTTCCAAAACTCATAAACAAATTCAGAAAAGAGTTTTCTTTAAAAATTCATTTCTCAGGCTTGGGACCTCGGAATTTGATTCCGGGCATACGCCCAAGTCCCATATTCTTTTTACGGACCCTTCGGGACCATCCAATCATGGGTCCGGGTCCGTTTACCCAAAATATTGACCGAAGTCAACTTAAACTCATTTTAAATGCAAAATTCATCATTTTTCACAGATTTTTACAAAATGGATTTCCGACTATGTGCCCGAATTACGCATGCAAATCGAGGTGATGCTGAAAGAAGTTTTTAAGGCCTCGGAATGCAGAATTCATTTTTAAAATAAGCGATGACCATTTGGGTCATCACAGCAATAGTCGTGCCCTACAGAAAGGCCAAAACGGGCCCTCAAAAAAAGAGAAGTAAAAACAAACAACAAAAAGAACAAAAAACAACTAAGTACAAAAGCTGCAACAAAGTTTCACTCGGTGTCATCCCCACCGCCGTTCTCTCCATCGTTATCATCAGAAAGCCCATCCTCAAAATTAACGCCCTCGCCAACCTCCAGCATCGTAGGGTCGTAACTACATACAATACGAGCCTCACATGCCTTCACCTGAGCATCTTCAAAGGCAGCCTCAGGAACACTTCCCGCCTCCCACAAACCCTTGTATATATCTCATTGGGCCTCGGCATGGACCCATAGATCATACAAGCGGCGGGGAACAGTGGTAGAGACAGATTCAACCTGAGCCAACAATTGCGTCTTCTTAGCCTCGAGAGTCGCGACCCGGTCTCCCAGGTTCGAAGCTTCTTGGTCAATTTCAACGGTACGTTTCTCAAGTCGCGCCTCCCTTATCGTGGTCATCGCCCTCTCAGATTCTTGCTCGGACCTGAGGACGCGGATAGTGTCTTCTAGCGACGCAGCCCTCGCCACAGCAGACACTCGAGCATCCTCGGCTTTCTCCAACTCGGCCACTTTCTTTTCCAGCTTGGCCACCTTCTCCGCCCATTCTGCACTAAGAGCGTTGACCCTAGCAATATTTTGTTCAAGCTCAGCTCGTAAAGATAGCACCTTCGCCTAGAGATCCTCACATTCCGCGGCGACCCCTTTGCCCACCCTAAGCTCTTCATTCTTGGCATGAAGTAGCTCCTCAAGCTCACTGTACCTACAGATAGACCGTATCAGGTCCTCATCTGTTTTCTCCAATTCGTCCCTGGCGGACTGGGTACTAGCACCCGCTCTAAGCTGCTCACGTATCTCACGGCACCTGTTACGATACCATTGATACTTCTCGGCCATTTTTAGAAAAATCTCGGTCCGCGTCTGATCGGGTCCAACCCTACACCACTACAGAGTGGCAAGAGCGGTCGATGTAGCATTTACTCGAGAAGGTCGGGATCTAATCCACAGGGAGCTAGATGTATTTGGAGTTGGATTCTTATCTAATCTAGAAATATGTAGTGCTTTTAATTGTATTTCCAATCATGTTTGTTTGTTTGTTACTTCTAATTTTATACTAATAATATGCGAAATTAAGCTAAGTAGATATGTATGTAGGATTTTCTAAATGGGTAAAGAGGCACTATGGAAGTGACTTCCCCCTAGGTGAATACTTGACGGGTTCTAAAGCCTAAGGCAAAGTTGTTATATTTGGGATCGCGATATAGCCAATGCATGAAACTACTCATTATATACCTCTCAGTAGCTTGAGTGACTTTGCCCTAATTGGCTTTCTCAAGACCAATTGGGTGTCAAAATTTTGCAAGCAATATAGGCTCAAGTCGGGTATATCTGTCTCTAGGTTTAACCCTTTAATTAGGGCTATCAATCTCTTGAATACGCCTAAATTCCTTGTTGGCCTGGTTTTCCTAGACTCAAACTCTCTTTCTCAAGAAGAGCCCAAGTCAAAAAGTCACAAATTAGTGTTTGCAACCACTATTAACATGGAAAATACAAATCAGGCCAAATATCAACCACCCATAAACATCTAAGCCCTAAAACAAGAGACCCATCAAATACCCACACTAAGGTAGCCACAACCCTAGCTAATGGGTCTAGTTACTCATAATAATGGAAGAAATCAGATATTAAGATGAAGAATAACCCATAAAATATAATTACAAGCTAAGATTTGAAGATTCAATGTTAAGCTAGCTATAAAATTACTCAAAATAGACTAAAAACGCCGTTCACGTGCTCTGCTAAGACAAGATGACCTAAAAATATGAAAAGAAAGTATTTATACATAGCTAAATTTTCTGGACAAAAATGCCCCTGATGGAGGTATCGTGAACCGCGGAAAATGGACCGCTACAGTGGTGAGGCTACCGCGGACCACGGTCTTTAGCTTTTGCTCAAACTCCAGGCTCTCTGAACTCCTCCATCGTGGACCGCAGTAAACTGACCGTTGTCGCAGTGGAGGCACCGCGGACTGCGGTAGCTTGAATTCCAAAAATGCCATTTCTCTGAATCCTTGCCACCGCGGACCGCAGTCGCGGTGAGTCTTCTGCGGCTGCGGTGGATTTTATGTTGTAGCGCTGCTTTGACTTGGTTTTGAACTTGTGTAGGTTTCACTCCTTTTTTGAGTTGGTTATGACATCCTTGTCCCTTTTTGACCAAACACTACAAGCAAACACAATAAGTTAGATATTGGGGAATACTTGTACACATTTTAGTCCAAAACTCAAGCAAAAAGGAGCATAAACTAGACTAGAATCTCTAGTTATCAACTCCCTCAAACTTAAGCTTTTGCTTGTCCTCAAGCAAATAAAGTAATTCTCACCTCCTTAAGATAAAAGAAAGGAAAATTCAGTTGTTCTAAATTAACCTCATCAAGAATCAATTAGGACTAACAATTACCTTCAACTCAAATGCATTATCAACAATGCACAACCTTTTAGTACCATGGCTATAGTGTGACACAAAAGCACCAAGGGTTGACTCAACTCATCAAGGAAACTCTTTCTGTTACATTGGTCGCTGTAGAACCCAAACTCATACTCCTCAACTCTCCATAAGCAAACCTCACTTTTAGATTGTATCACTCAGAACGAGGATTGTGGGAAACACACTCGTCTCTCTCAATGGAAGGTCACAAGTCCGGCTCTAAGTACCATAAGCTTGCCCTTTATGTGAGTCACCACTAATGTAAGCTCACTCAACTCAAGATCATATAGGGCTTTTGTGGGAATTTAATGAAGGATTTTGGTTCAGGGTAGGATATATTGGTCTAAGAAGGTTTTATCTTCCCTTAATCACTTTGTTTGCTTCATTTTGGCACACATTTTCTTGACTATTTGAGTCATCTACTTCTTCTTTAGGGGCTAGAGAGACACACTGTCACTCTTTGTTATTCATTTCAATTCTTTTTTTCCTTTCTAATCTTTCCAGGCCTTTCATCTTTTGCTTTCGTTGAATCCCTTCATTTTTTTGTCTACTTTGCTCATTTTCTTTTTGAATCTTTGGCTTTTCTTTTTTTTTCTTTTTCTTATGCCTTTCCTTTTCTTTATTTTGTATATTTTATCACTTTTGCATTCCTCGTCTCTCTCCCCAAACTTATGCTTTTGCCTTGTGCTAAGGAAAGATAGGGTGCCAAGAGAGGATTATTTTAGAACGGATAAAGGATTGTATCATGATTATTGTAAGAATAAGGGCTAAGGCTCAACGGGGTTGACTAGGGATATCGTTATTGGTAGGATATGGATGTTTTCAAGTTTCAATTGGTACCAAAGAGAGTCTATAATCACTTCTCAAGCCGAGCTACACTTAGGAATTCGCCTAGACAAACATTCAGGGTAAGTTCTAGATTCACTGGCATAGGACTTGGACTTGCAAATCAATACCTCACCACATAAGCTATTGGATTGCTAAAGAAATAGAGTCGGGGGACCACAACAACCTTAGCTAAGATTTAAGTAACACAAATGGTTCCAAGAAACCACTCGATGATTGTTTAGCCAACACAAGAGTCTCAAGGTTACAACTATCACCATCTTATACACAACAATTTGCTTTTAACCATAAGGTCAAAGGTAAATGTGTTAGGCCCAAGTGAAGCTTTGTCTGAGGCACCATTGCTTACTAACTACAATTTACACCAAAACAAAAAGAAAAATAGACTCAAACCCTTAAAAAGGTTGTCATGTCATCCATCATCGGGAAGAGCCACCCGGTTCACACAAACTCCACCTTTGGAAAGAACCATGGCATTAAAAAAACCAAAGGCTTATTGATCACGTAAATTGTAAAATAAGAAGCTACGAACTGAAAAAAAGTTATTAAATGAAATAAGAAGCTATTCTATTAAGGAAAGTGCAAAAGAAGCTATGAAGTAAAATGCGGAAAGTAAACTGAATATGTACAAAAAGGGGGATTTAGATGAATATACATAAGAAGGGATGAATATATACATGAGAGTAACTTTATATACAGACCAAACTAGAACAATAACGGAAAGTAAAATAAAAGGTAAAGTTATATACATACCAAAAGTGAAAAATAAGCATAAAGAAAGAAAATATTGTCATAATTATAGTCCAACTAACAAATTAAACTACCAAATCAAAAATCAAAGTAGGGTCACCCCCTCAAATGAAAGCTAGCATTGTCCTCAATGCTAACTAACCAAAAATAAGCTCAAAAAGAAAGATAGAGAGTGAAAAAAATCCTTATGGATCCTCTGTCTGCATGGGGTCTTATGGTAGCATGGGCTCTTGTGACTGAGTGGGGTTCTGTGACTGCTAGGGAACCTGTGACTGGATCCCTGTAACCTGTGCCTACTCTGGGACCTAAGGTTGGCTAGAGGAACCTCCCTACGGATCCTCCAACTCAATCACTGCATCATCTGCCTGGGGGATCACTCTCCTCCTCTTTGGTGCCCACTCCAACTCCAGCTCCTGCTCCGGCTCAGTTTGAGCTGCTGGAGGCTGGTCATGCAATAATAGCTCCAATGGTAGATGATCAGCCACCTTCATCTTCTCCACTTCTCCCCTCAACTCCTTCACAGACTCCTTTGAGGCTCGAGTATGCTTCATCTTCTTTGTCTGCTTGGACAGCTCCTTCAGTGACTTTCCATGAGCATCGATAGCATCCATAATCAACTTTTGGTTCTCCAGGAGCTTCTTCTGGTTGTCCAGAAGCTCCTTGAGAGTCTCTTCCACTGAAGCTAGAACCTATGCCTGTGGGGGTACAGATTGGGCTTCCACTGAACTAGAAAATACAAACAGCTTAGAAGTTGTTGTCTACATCCACTTGTTGATACTGTAGAGTGTTTGGTTCAAATGGTGGGCAATTAATGGGTAGGCTAAGGATGATAGAATATCTGGAGTGGAAGTAGATGGTCCGGAGGCAATATCTGGTGTGGCTGTGGGAGGCTAAGAAGAAATGACTACTACTACTGGCTCTTCAGACTGGCCAGTAGAAGTAATGGCTTTGCCCTTAGGATCTTTGTCTTTGGGGTTGTCATCGGCCTTGAGGCTATACCACGAAAAGGGCATCTTGGGCTTTACCTTCACGTCAAAGTTCCTTTTCTCCACCTCCTGGTCTTTCAAATATATTGTAAAGAAGTGCGGAAATGGGTATGATATGTCACCCTCATTGACCACCCTAGTGATCACCCTAGACATAACATTCCCGACGTTGATCGGGAACCCCGCCATAATAGATGCCACCAATATCACCTGGGTGATCGGCATAGAGTTTTCATGGGTAGTGGGGTTCATCCTACTGCATACAAAAGTCTCCCACCCCTTCACCTCAAAATTCAAAGTTTTCCTCAAGATTGCAACTTTTGATGTCAATCATGCTGGGGTGGTGCCCAGGAGAGCCAAATATGATGCTAATCATGGACGGGCTGCCTCATCAAGTGCTAATTTCTCCAAGTATAGTGATTCATCTTCCTCAGGAAAGCCCAGGTACTCATTGATTGTCTTCCCATCGAACTTCACTTTCAAGTTCCGCACTTTAGTCATTTTGGTATTCTTTTTGATGTGGGAAGCATTGGCGTAAAACTCTTTCACTAAGTGTTTGTTTGCCTCTGACACCCCGCTAGTGAAGTAATCCCACCCTGCTCGTTCATCAAATTGCTATTTCACGTTGAGGTTGTGCGGCAGGAGATCCCATACTATGAACTGGCGCTCAGGAATAAATGACCTTAGAGGCCACCACTCTCGGAATTTGTGATAAGCTAGCTCACTGACGAACCATTTTTGCCATACCTCGGGGTTTCTAGTTCTCTCCACACCCCTAGTTTGAGGCACACCCCCTCCCTCTTCATTCGGTACCCTAGCATCTACATCTTG